AAGATGACTAGCATTTCAACCACCTGTTTTAAAAGTACTGCGAACAAGACCTTTTTATTCAATACCACGAAGTACGTCAGAACAAAGCATGGGTTACATGATATTATAACTTCTTTTTCACTGGGCATGCGTAAGGATTCAGTTAAAAACTACGCGTGTAAAATTATTAACAGTCATATTTTTATGTCTCATAAGTTGCCCTAAGGTGAATTGTGTTTCGCCTTCTCAAGCTTTATAAATTATTATTGTAATGCTGGCTTGCCTGTTAATAACGTTACGAAATACTGGAAATATAAACTGAACAAAAAAAATCATGTATTATCAAAACAGTACATTATCCTGGGAAATCAATATTTAAAGGTTAGTATGTCTGTGTACATACTGTCATGTTCCAGATTTTTAAGTTAAAGTCAACTTATGTTTCATGTTTCAATATTTTATACTCTTTCAATGCATATTATGTAGCCAGAACGAGCTTTTGTGTTATACATGAGAGGCAGTTAAGCCTAGCTTCAACCATAAAACTACGTGAATCAGGGGGGAAATGTTTATAACTAACTTAAGCTTTAATGTATGATAATTGTATAAACCTTGTTTTTAAGAATTCTCCCGTTTTTTTCCCCACATCTTCTTATATTAGGTTTTCAAGCAAACAGTAGCTATAAAGTTTCAATGTTCTAGAAACTTCAGAAGCCTTTCTTCTCGGAATGGGTAAGTACATTCCTTATTCGTTGCGTTACTTTTCCATTAATACAACGTAGGGGAAATCATCATGCAGAGGAAACACTGTTAACCTCTTATAACCTTCAAGTTGAGCACAAAACAAAAGTCTGATGTAGCAATCTCTGAAAGTACACTTTCAGTCATATATGTCATATGTATAATTAATATGGCAGGGTTAAGAAATACATACCATAAACTGTTTTAATACTATAACTTTACTTAGGAATGATAAAAATGTGAAAATTGATGTGAGCATCTTAATAGCTTGAATTAAAAATTGTGCACATTTTATGCAACGTTCACGAGCTATGGGCAATTAATTTTAATTAATGCCTTCGTTAGTGGTAATTAGACTCGTGACAAGACAGTTGGTACCTTTTTTTTTTGAGTTTTAAAGAGTGTTTTTGGAAGAGTGTAATATTAGTTTATTAGCGAGATAAATTCACCATTAAAGCCAATATCAGCATGATATTCAGCACACTTTAATCCTGCCACATTAACTGTTTATGTTTCCTCTGCATGTAAATTTGCCCAGTTTTAAGGGCCAGTGCTACTTTAAGTAAGATCAGTCAAAAGAAAAGTTTTTTAAGTAATATTTATCAGGGCTATAGACAGTTTCGGATCCATTTCATTGAGTTGAGTTTGCGCTAACCTTCCCTAATTTAGCAATGATAGACTAGAGGAAGGGCAGCTAGTCAACAACACCCACCGCCAACTCTTGGCCTATTCTTTTAAAAACGAATTGTAGAATTGACTGTCACGTTATACACCTCCCTGGCTGATAGAGCGAGCATGTTCGGTGACGGAGATTCAAATTCACGACCCGCAGATTGCGAGTCGAGCGCCCCAACCATTAAGCCTCATTTCCTCACTATTGGTAACAGCTTGCCATGGGAGACTGGTTTGAAACATACACACTAAAACTGGTGAATTCGATAACCTAATGAGGCTCACTATTGGTAACAGCTGTTTCAATCCAGTCTCCCATGGCAACACACACTAAAACTGGTGAATTCGATAACCTAATGAGGCTCAATATTGGTAACAGCTGTTTCAAACCAGTCTCCCATGGTAACACACACTTAAAATTTGTAAAATCACTAACCTAATGAAGCTGACAACTGGTAACAGCTGTTTCAAAACAGTCTCCATGACAACACACGCATAAACCGAGGAAATTATTAACCCAATGATACTCGATACTGGTAACAACTGTTGCTAGGTAAGGACACATCGTTGATCAAACATCCCATTGCTGTACAATAGACTTAATGAATGGTTTGGACCTAGCACTAAATGGCTGTAACACAAAGGGTGTTATAAAAGGCATGAAATGGCTCAACACATCTTAAATCATATCACCACTCAAAGTGATACAATGTTATGCTTTGATACTAAACGTACAATGAAAAGGGTTATCACGTTTGGGGTGGTCTTTTTTTTGGTTTACGGTGTTAATGTGGATATTGTGCACGTAGAAACGTTATGCATGGCAAGTTTCAACTCCGTGCGACACACACGAAGGACTTGATCTCCCAACACTTCAAAGGTGGGAAACGCGGTGTTTGGAAGCATGGTTGAAGATGAGCAACACTAAGTATCACTGGCTCCTCCCACAAAGGGCTCAGTAACGTTAGTTGTCTGGATTGGTGAAGTTTCTTAGAGCAGAGACTGTTAACTGTTTCTTCTCCAAACTGAAATAGGGTTTGGTTTGTTTTGAATTTCGCGCTAAGCTACACGCGCTAGCCGTCCCTAATTTAGCAGTGTAAGACTAGAGGGAAGGTACCTAGTCATCACCACCCAACGCTAACTCTTGGGCTACTCTTTTACCAACGAATAGTGGGATTGACCGTCACATAATAACGCCCTCACGGCTGAAAGGGTGTGACGGGGATTCGAACCCGCGACCCTCAGATTGCGAGTCGAGCGCCGTAACCACCTGGCCATGCCGGGCCCTGAAATAGGGACCCAGTACTGACTGTTGAGACAAAGACTGCCTTCAGACTATTGATAACAAAACATTTCAGAAGAACTGTAGCAATAGAGTAGCAGCCATGATTCCGGGGAGGGAGTGCTCCACGTGGTTTTTGTATTGGAACAGCAAGATCTTTACAGTGCGTAGAAATGGGGAACTTTACACTTTTGTTGATAGATGAAGCTATTGAGCTTTTAGAATAAGAGAAACTGTGGAATATTAAGAAACAGAAGGAAGTACTTTTTGTGTAACATAAATCAGTTGTGCTGCAAATGCAACCCGGATTCGAACTTGGGGTGGGTGGGTATAAGAGGTCACTGGGTACAACACGCGATAGTCTAGTTTTATGAAGACAGGAATCCAGATACAGTTTCACTTTTGAAAAACAAGTAGGTATGAAAATGTCGACAGGAAATGCTGTAGATACAGATTGGCTTTGTACAAGAGTAAAAAAGTGTAAACGCTTGGAATATCCACTGAAAAACAAAAATCAATGTTTCTTAAATTACCTGGCTCCTTCGCCATTCATTCGAAATGTTCATAAATTGTGGATAGTCAATAGGAAGTTTTGAAACAGCTATTTGTAGGATAACAGATTTATTTCTGTACAACTCTATCTGTGAGATATGATGACGTACAACATTTAGGATAAAGGTGCCTTCAAATTGTGGATACTCAGTACAAGTGTTTCCCACAACAAATACATATTGTGGAGTACGTGGTTGAGTATGTTAAGGCAGCTAATCATCACCACTCAGCGCCAACTATTGGGCTACTCTTTTACCAACGAATAGTGAGATTGACTGTCACATTATAACGCCCTTATGGCTGAATGGGCGAGCATGTTTGGTGGGATGGGGATTCGAACCCGTGACCTTCAGATTGCGAGTCGAACGCCTTAACCACCTAGCCATGCCGGGCCATGGGGTATGAGGAGGAAAGTTTCTCAACGCTCGTTTCGACAGTCTGATTGTACAGTAATCCATAGGCGCTGTGCACTATAACTTAACTAGTATGTATTTGAAATGGACTTCATACCCACTTCATTCTCTAGCTGTTTGGCGTATTTGACGGTTGAACAGAACGTATAACTGGAAGGCTTAGCTTGGTGAAACTACACCCTATTGGTCTCATTACCAGACAAAGATCCTTCTTGATTATGATGCGTACTGTTGCCTTGGGCACGTATACATCTTTTGCCGCTAACATTTATTTTCGTGGATTTTCAACTGTTAAAAAACGCTACACTTTACTTACCATTGTTGGGCTGTGGCTTATTTTATATCTCTTTCTCTGGGTGGTTGCCACGAGTTGATTCGTATTCTGTTTTCGAATTACATTAAGTACAAGGGGGTATCCCCTTATTGGAAATTCTAAATCTTCAAATATTTTACGTTGGAAAGGGCTATTACCTACCAACACAATCAGTTTGTGGTGGCATCACTTTCTCTACGAAACTATCAACAATATAGTTATGATACATTCTGTTCCACTTTATATCGGCTGTAGTTTGTTGATTTGCATATTCGAAATAATTTCAGTATAAAGCAGCTAATCATCACCACCTACCGCCAACTCTTGGGCTACTCTTTTACCAACGAATAGTGAGATTGACCGTCACATTATAACGCCCCCATGACTGAAAGGACGAGCATGTTTGGTGGGATAGGGATTCGAACCCGCGACCCTCAGATTACGAGTCGAGCGCCCTAACCGCCTGGCCATCCCGGGTGGTATCTGCCATCAAGAACGACAGAAACAAAGCCACGTAAAACTAAACGATTTCAATGGTTTTCTGAAAACGCGATTATATCAAAACTGCATGGAAAGAAGCTAAACGAAAATTGTTTAAAATCATATACTAATAAAGATAGTGGAAAACATTTGATCGACCCGTATATATCATTTTGACTGAGTTTGTCACACATGCTGCTTTATGAAATCTTATTATTAGGTATTTTAGAACAACAAAAAGAGGTAATGTTTTTTTCATTTTCCCAAATTAAATTTCCATGATATTATACTTAATTTGAAAACATACTTAAGTAATACTCAATTTATTTCTGATTACAATGGTGAGATTGTCTTCTTTAAAGGTTCAAATGAAAATTTCTCTTGCATATGTTTATAACATATTTAAGAGATTTTGAAAATTATGATAATAGCTTCAATAGATTTTTGTTTGATTGCATGTATATATATATATATATATACTGTTAAATAATATGTTTTTTTTTATACAATTAGCATATTAGAAAACCATTAGATGGCGCGATGGGTATAAGGTATGTTATACATGTGATTGAAATATTTAAGTAAAAGTGCATGTGTGAATAGCGATTTAAATTATTCTTTATCAAGTTGTATATTCCTTTTATGAGAGTATACCTAATATTTTAGTCACGATTTTTTATTAACAGTGATTAATTTAAAGTGGGAAATCGGCCTCTTGTTTTATGTCAATATCACCCTCAACTCTGCCAACCTATACAATTTACTGTCTGCACGTGTTTTATTATTACTATTAGGCAGTATAACTAGTATATGTATAACAATAATTGTAAACTGGCTGTGAGTCATGACTGCTCAGTAAGTAAAACTTGTTTCTGAAATTTATTCTGAGTTGGAAACAGTAAAGTTTTGTTTCCTGTTAAAAGTAGCACTTATGGAATGCGATACGCATACATTTATAACTTATAATACCTATATTAAGATTTTTGATATAAATAACTGAAACTGGAAAATAACTTAATAAGTAATTAACATGACTGTTTCTATGATATTCTAGTTTTCCACTATAATATTAAAATTAACGGTAAAATAACTTATTAAAGTAAAGGTGACAAAGTATTTTTATAGTGAAATATACAGACAAAGGGGATTTTTGGTCTGTCAACAGTTAAAGGCTGTCTTTGCACACCCACCCTCTAGAAACGTAAAAAAAAAAACAATTTTCCTCTTAAACTTTAAATTCCTGTAAAGTGCTGACCTTCATTACTACTGATACTGATAGCAACTCATTCCTTAAGCCAATCACCCTGTGTAATAAAAATAAAACTGTCATAACTGCAGGCTGTTCTGTCTTTTTCTAAATCTTAAACTTCTGTACTTTTGTTCTTTAATATTCATGATACTGCACAAATAAATCAGGTTTTTATCCTATTAATTATATGGATAATTTTGTAAACTTCAATAAGGTTACCCCATTAATATAACTCTTTTAATCTCTTGAACTATCCTAATACTATTCCTAGTAGCTTTCTTTTGAACCTTCTCCAAAGTTAATACTGAACATGTATGCTCTTTCACAGTTTCAGTCACTGGGACAGTATAATGTGATGGTCAGTCTCACTATTTGCTGGTAAAAAGAGTAGTCCAAAAGTTGACAGTGGGCAGTTTTTACTAGCTGCTTTCCCTCTAGTCTATTACTGCTAAATTAGGGATGGATGATGCAGATACCCCTTGAGTAGCTTTGCACAAAATTTAAAACAAATCAAAGTTAATATCCTTCCTTAGGTATGGAAACCATGGTTGTATGTATTGTTTCAAGTGAGGCCTTTTTAGTGATTAGTATATAGAGAGAATTACCTTGTGACTTTTGATCAGTATGTTTACTAATAGTCCTTACAATTCTAGTAGCTTTATACTAGCAACAGAGCACTGCTTTGATAGTTTGAATGACTTCACCACTATGTCAAGGTGTTTTTATTCAGTTATGCTATTGAATTGGTTCCATTCTATGGTTATGTATTAAACTTGTGAACCAAGTTATGATAACCCAAAAGTATTGCCTTGCACTTGCTGTAATTAAAGATAATTTTCCAAATATTAGTCTAATATACCAGTTAGTCATTTTTATCTCTACATCCCCAGGATATCTAGAAATACCCAAGAGTTTAACATCATCAGCAAACCTAAGTATTTTACTAACTATGCCCATGTGAATATTAAGGCCAAGCACTTACCCATGAGGTACTTCACTAGTAACAAGAGTCCAATTTGACTGTGCTCCATTACTATATTAGTAACAACCTTTTGCATTCCCCCATCTGATCACTGTACAAACAAGTAAGTAGTCTTCCTCCATCTTTTATCATTGTGATGTTTTTAGCCCTTCGTGTACTAAGTTATAAATATAATATTTGAATACATAACTAACAGGTAACATCCTAAAAAAAAAGTTGGAAGGCAAAATTTGCCTTTGGTGAATTCACTTAATAATTATCTAAAGCTTCATTTACTGTACTCTAGAATTTATTTCTTGTGGTGGGCAGAGCACAGATAGCCCATTGTATAGCTTTGTGCTTAACATCATACAAACAAACCAGTGCAATCTTATCACTTCCTTTAAAAAATAGGACTAACATTAGCAACTCTTCAATCATCAGACACCTATCTATTGTTTATTAACCTACCAAATATGAGTGAGAAAGGCTTAAGTTATATATGATCTTTGGCCTCCTTTAAAACCCTGAGAAGAACCTTGTCTGGTTCTGGTGCTTTATACTTTTTTAATCTTAAATATTGTCTTCTTACCACCAAAGGATTAATATCTATGTGATTCAGGTCATTTCCATTATTTCACATATTTCAAGAATATTGCTAACATATCTTCTAAAATATAACACAAGATAACATTTATAAGCTCATTTATCTCATAATTTTCAACAAAAACCTTGTCATCAGCATCTTTTAAAGTCTTAAGTCTCCAATTTTAACATTTTGCTTACATTTAACATACTTAATAAAAAAAAAAAAAAAACTTTACTGTTTTAACATTATTATCCAGCAGTTTCTCGTAAGCCTTTTTAGATTTCCTAATTTCTTTTCTCATTAGTCAAATCCTTAGCTTTCCCCTATTTTGTAAATCTTCCAATCTATCTGTCAGTTTAAACTTCTTAAATTATGGTATATCATCTGTCCCTAATTTTCTACATTATTTTTCTAAAACATGAAACACTATTAACTGTCATTTACTCAAGTTTATCCTTCTCTTCCTCTAACATGTAAATATGAGCTAAAGCACTCAAGTGCATGTGTTTGACAAAGCTTATAGTCTTACATTTACTTGTTTTAGTTTTTTGCTGCAAAGTGTATTATTTAGTAACATATTATCTAATATTACTTATTTATTAGTATTTCAAAAGTTGATAAGTGCATGCTTTATTAAACATAAAAAATTTTATTATTATAATTTTGGAATATAATATACCATTTACTTAAGACCCCTTCAGGACCTACTTTATTTATTTTTTGTTCAAGCTATATAATTAAAAGTGTAATGTGTGTGCATACATGGGAAGCTTTTTGAACTTCATTAAACTGTGTAAAAATGAAATTAAAAGTTGGGAAGTATGATGATGTTACCATATAAGCATGGGAAGCTTTATAAACTTAATTAATATATCAATAATAAAATTAAGAGTAGGGAAGTACAGATGTTGTCATCACTACATAAGGAAGGGGTGGGTGTAGATAATACTGTGCATTGCAAAGGGAAAGGTATTTGGGGAATGGACTTATCATCTATCTGAGCCCCATCTCAGACAGTAGTTTTTATGTGTTAAGATTTTGTATGTGAATTGCTTCATTTGTTTATAGACACTTGGAATACTGGTACAATCACCCTGTGAGTTTAATACTTACCTCCGATACCTGGGTTTTGAATGCATTGCTAGATCTGATGTCTCTTATTAGATAAGTCTGTTTGTCATTTTTGATGGTACTGTTTGTCTCAAACTGTCTTTTGCACTAGAGGTGTTTGGTCGGTATTACATGTTATGGAATAGGTTTAACCTCGAAGTCATTTTGACGTCCCCATGGCCATCAGATTTGTTCAGAATTCTACATATCTAAACTCATATGCAAGTAGTTTAGACAGGTCACTTAACTGTTTTGATTACTTTAAATACACAGCACTGCCTTTACATTTTATAAACTTTGTGAATTCAAATGCAAAATACCACAACCAAAAAAAAAAGTTTTGTATGCAAAGAATGAGTTTCCCTTTAGTTAATCATTATACAGTGTTCTTACTACCAAAGATAAAGTATTAAAAGTACATTATTGTTATTAATTTATGAGTGCAGAGTGTATTTATTTATTTAATTTTTATAGTAATATCATAATTATACAGTATTTTAATTATTTTAAAGCACTTTAAGTTTTCTCAGTCATAGCTACGTGAAGGCTTGAATTCAGCTCAAAGCTTAACTTAAACTGAAATTCTTTTAAGCTCAAATAGAAAAAAAACTTACATAATCCTAACATCTTAAAGTAAAGTTTTCTTAACAGTAAGATTAATCCTAAATAGCCAGAGATAATTGCATATTTATTATGTCCAATTATGAACCCTCTTTTTACATTTTTGTCTTCGTACAATGTGACGACATTGTTTTTGTGCTTGAATTCACTTTTAGTTTCCTTTTTACAAGATTGTAGTTTGTTGCAAGATTACATCACTCTAATCAAAGCATATCTGATAGCTGTTCTGTATATATATTGCTTTTGTTAATATCAGATGACCTGTGTTTGCAGTTGCTACACATACTTGACTCTGTTTTCCCTTTTTTCACTATATGTTCTAATTTTGTTAAAATGCTTTTAAGATTGATAATCAGAACATTAAGTGAAAGATTAGCTAAATATAAAATGATTTTACAAGAGATGTCACTATGTTAATTAAAAATGTGAAATAATTGAACCTTAACCTGGTATAAGAAATTAACTCTTAAAAAATAAAAAGCTTAAACTGAAACAGTAATATTGGCAATGACTTAGAGTGCTTATTAATTTTGAATTTATCACTTTAGATTTGGTATATTTGGAGGAACAGTGATTATTGTAAAATTAATTCCTTTATTCATAATTAATTATGACAAAAATTAGTAATAATGCATGATTTTTGCTATGATTTACACAAAAACAATTTGGAGAAAACTGTGTTAGGCCTTGTTTTAGTGCTAGAACATTAACTTGAACAAAGTATGCTTGTAATTATCTTGTTGTTGATAGGAGGAAAATCCTTTGGATAATTGGGAGTGTCAAACACTCTCCTTCAGACACTAAATTTAAAAAGTGTTAGTCAGCTAATTTGTCTTATGGAAAAATCAGTGAATAAGAGACTTTAGAGTATTAAAACTTATGGAAAAGAAACTGACCTAATGATTTGTTTATAGGTTTCAGTAAACCATATCAAAGCAATTACCTCAAACGTCTGCTGAATTAGTTATTTTTATCTCTTACCATGGGTACAAGTGATGCAGTTAAAAGTATGTACAGTTTGTCAAGTTCTATCAATATGAAAGGAGAAGCCCAGGAAGAGTTGTATATTCTAGACTTGGTCATTAGCAGGTATGTAGAAGAAGTATAATGGAAGCAATTCATACTGTATTTTAAAAATATATACATGTACATGAAAGAGCTTGTCAGTCGGAGTCTTTGGCCCTTCAGGATAATGATTTAACTGTGTGAAAACTATAAAATGCAAATCAAAAGAAAGTCAAGAATAGAAAAATACTTTTTAATGTGTAGAATTTTGACAGAAGAATAAGACAAATATCTCAATTTACCAATGAGTTGTTGAACATCATCTCTTACTAGAAAAACATTATTTTTTTAAGTGTTTTTTGTCAATTATTCATCATAGACTTGTGGTGGTTTAGTAAATGATGTGATTTTTTTGTGTAGACCTGTGGATCTTTTATTTCTGACCCTCTGCAACAGCTCTCATGTAACCCTTTCTAATGTGGTTATACGTCTTCCTTCACATATTCACATTCCTCCTCCTTTGTTGTTGTTATTCTTTTCAGATGGTTTACGAAAAGATTTGGAATCTAAAGGCCTTGTTAGCTCTAGGAATGGTAGATTTAGTGTGATTAACATATTACTTCTTCTTTGCTTTCACTTATATATTCTCAGAATATCAACATTTTACCAAGTTTGGATAGCCTTCAGAGTTTCTTTACTTTCTCATTTCATCATGTAATGAGACAGGCTGTGTTAGCCATCTCAAGATGATCTGGGTACTAATACATGTTCAGTTTTTTTGTTTTTTGTCAAGGTATTTGTGGTCTCATCAAATACTTCTTTCTGTTTGATTTATATCATCACTATTCATTTTCAACTTCCCATACCCCATTAGTTACTCGACTATTTCAACTTAATTTAGGTGGTATTTTGTGTCACATCTAACTTCTTGCTTGGAAGTTCTTCTTCTTCCTGTGTCGCTGGAAGATATCAGAGTAGTGAAACAACTAACTTAGGGCATTATTGCTTATGCTACATGTAGGGTGATATTTCTAAGATTCTAAATCTCAATTCTGCTCTCCAAATTTCTTATTAATCTCGTTTATAAAGACCCTTTCTATGACGTTTGATGAATGTTAACATGTTCAATTTGTCAAGGCTCTCGGTGTATCAATTTTTGATTATATTTATAATTTAAAATTAGCAGGCTTAAAATTGGCTTCTTGATTAGAGCTGAGCAATTAACTCAATCAGTATAATAATTTACCTTTGAACATCAACTACATCAATTAGTGTCATGTAAAATAATCAGTTCATTGAAATTATGATTAAATTGATTAATAAAATAATCAAGTAATGAAAATTAGTTTTTGTTTTGATTACTGTTTTTCATTATTTCAACTATCCAATAGTCAAAATAATTCCAATTTGATTTCTTAATATTGATTAATTTAAGGTTATTCAGCTTAATTGTTCAGTAACATTACTCAATAAAATAATTAACATGTCAAAATTAGTGTTTCTGATTATTGCCCAGATCTGTTCATGAGATTCATAGGATGGCTCTGATGGTAGTGATGTATATATGAATTATAAAAGATATTGAGAGGTCATCAGAGTGATTATGATACAGTCATATCAAGTCATGCTACTCCAAAACAAAGATACATAAAAATATCAGCATCAATGAAATGTGATGTTTGATTCATGTCCAGATGTTACCTTAGTGTGTCACTGTGTATAATTGTCAACCTTATTCTGTACATTTTGTATAGTCTTTACTACTAATAGTTTTAGTGCCTGTTCTCCTAAACCTTTACCTGTTTATATTTCTCACTTCATATAAAAATGGAATTGTCTTTTCCAAAATTCTACTTTATTCTATTGTGTGAGAGTAAATTTGTCTATGTCACACTACTTAGTTTGCTTTTAATCCACATGGTACACTAGAGGTGTTCTGTTCATGAAGAAGAATTATTAGTAGATAAGGATCTCTTTTGACAAACCAACAGATTTTGATGTTTGGATTGAAACAAAATAGCAGTGCTTTTTTAAATAAATTTCCCCCAAACACTTTATTAAGACTTATCTAAAGAGAGAACAATAAACCAGTTATTATTTGTCTCTAAACTTTGTAAGTTAAATAATGTTATTGAATGAACTTTAGAGGCTCAAAAACCTATACAGTAAGTTTAATAATTCAAGCTGTTGTTTCACAAAATTATATTTTTTCTAACACTGTATAATTTAAAGTATGTTTGCTACATAATATTACAGGCTTTAGCAAAATGCTGCTTGCAATCAAAAATATTTTCCACCTTTTAACAAGCAAAATGTTTTTAATTTTCTATCTTCCATAGTTTTGTTTTAAGTAGTTAACTCAATGTAAATATGTTTGTTGAAAAATATTCTCTTCAAGTGCTATGAAGAAGAAACGGTTATAACGGTTATATTATTATTATTATTTTTTAGAAAAAAGTTTTGTTTCTTTTAGTGAAGTACAAACATGATTTTTTTGTTTGATAAATCTAGGAGTTCAAATCCTTTGGTGGCAACAAGTTTATCTGATGGAAATATTCAGCTTTTTAAATTAGAAGGACTTCAGAAAACAGATTCTATTAAAAGTATGTACTTTGTAGACTTAAAGAAAAGAGTTGAAATTGTTAAATACAAAACTTGTTACTGTTTCATAAGCTCATACATTTTACTGTAAATAGCAGAAAAATTAAAATTTTATTGTTTTATGCTAGCTGTTAAGACAATGAACCATTGATATCACACCAGTAATTAATACAATACTGTTGTCAAACTGTTAATTAAACCAGTATGCTACCGATAACACTCCAATAATCAAAACAGTTTACTTCTTGAATCACACTGTTAATCAAAGCAGTTTACTTCTTGAATCACACTGTTAATCAAAGTAGTATAATTCTTATATCACACCATTAATTAGAGCAATATGCTAATAATACCACACCAGTAATCAAGACTTTAGTACTACTGATATCACACAGACAATCAAAATAGGCAACTACTGAAATTATTCTTGTAATTAAAACAGTAATAACAAAGTATTTTTGTTGTACCTTACTAAACTAGCAAAAAGTGTGTAGTCATACCAGTCAAGTCATCATTCCACATTTTACTTGAGAGTACATTATTAAGTATAGCTGAAGTTATATCTTACATAAAAGTACTTAAAGAAAAAAATTATCATAGTAAATTAATAGTTTTCTTATAAAGTAATATTATTAACAATAAAAGTGTCTCAATTCATATCAATATTTTATTATTGAATTAGTACTTTAACATATTTTTCCTGTTCACAACATCAGCACTAAAGCTTCTAATGTTGAGTTAACACCTAATCCATGTGTTTCTTAGTAATTATGGCATTGTACTTTTATCATCTTCATAATCAGATTTTAAGAAGACACTTATTAAACAGTGTTATAATATTAGTACAAAAACTTTTATTTTGCAATATTAATATCTTGATGTTTCTTGTTTCTGTTGGTTTTATTTTGATTATTAATGTGGCCAGAAATTCTCTTTCTCTCTCTCTATTTCAGGGCATGGAGAAGTTTTAACTGGGATTAGATTTAGTCATGAAAACCCTCAGATTTTATGGTCATCCTGTAGTGATGGAAAAATTTGGTAAGTACTGGTAAGCAACTATATTTCAAGAGGGATAAAAATAAGCTCTGATAAAAAAAGAAAAACAAAGTTAACAAAAGAGAATAGCATTCTACCCATCAATTTTGAATAACTTGATATGGGTGATCAAATTATGGTTAACATTTTAGGAACTCTGTTTTTGTCTTGTATCTCGCTCCAAGTCATACTTAGAGCACCAGGTACTAAAATATTAGCAAATTATTAAATTAAGAATATAACATAACTGTCAATGGGATGGATGTGCCTGTTTAGGTTATTATATCTGTTCCATTCTTGGAGTGATTTCTGTGAAGCATAAAAGCAAGTTTAATTTCAAATATAATTAGTTGGAGAGTGCATTGTTGCAGCCACTTGTGTAAAGATTGCCGTAACATCATAACAAAATTTTTCGTTTTTTATCACACAAGTGATTGTATATCAAATAACCAAAAAACTTACAAAATATTTGAGTTTTATAGAACCACGAAATAGGTGTTGTCACTGAAGTAAATCATTTCCATTATTAATTCGTGATCTTCATGATTCTTGTGGCTTTTCTTCTCTTTGGTGATATTCATGTTTTTATTTATTCAGTGGTTAGAAGTATTGAAGTTCTTTTTTTTTTTTTTTGTTTCTGATAGTTGTTGGGACCTCAGGCAAGAAATAAATAAGCCAGTTAAAGAGTTAAAAGGTTAGTCATAATTTTAAAGGCATCAATAAACTTCATACTATTAACAAGCTAACTCTCAAAATTGAAAATGAAATATACACAGAAAATTATTAACAAAATATAAATATTAGAATTGCTATATATATAACAAACCAAATCTCTGTTTAGAATTAACTTTAACAAAACAGGTCATCAACAAATAAGTGTCAGAGTTTAAAGGTGAATAAAACCTGTAAGATCATCTACAAATCACATAATGAAGTAGCAGATAAGGAAAATGACTACCACCAGACTTCTCATAAAAAAAAAAACAATCAGTAGTTAAAATAGTAACTATAACTCAGAGGGATAACAACAAACCAACTCAAGAAAAAACAATATATATATATATATATCTTTAACAAAAACATTATTCTTTTGTTAAAAAAGATAAATTTTGCAAGAAACAAACTTGGTTATTAAAAATGAAATTTGACAGCAAGAAACAAAGTTACTTGAGTTCAAATAACAACAAATCAAACTCAAGAATGTAAAAGGTATATAATTCTGATACAATATCTCTCACCTCCACTCACAAAACGTTTTCTCGACTTATATTTCCCTCTATCGGCACACATTTTTGCTTACTACCAGCCTTAATACTCCCACTTATTTCTGCATACTGACATGCAAATGATCATGCAGCAACCCTCCACCAATAGGAGTGTGACACTACTCCTATCATAACTAGCACCCTCTTTAATCTAGCAGCTGGTAACAACTTCTCGATTTGCAGTCTTATTGGATAGAAGTGTTTTTACTTGCAGTTTGTTTCATGTATCTACAAGTTTTTATTTCTTAATTTTTCTACTTCAGTTGCATTGTTATTTACTGTTTTTATTCTCTTATGTGGAGAGTTATGAATTATTTTATTTATCTTCTTTTCTCTTTCTATTTTGTGAGTTATGCACTCACAGTTTCAGGTGGTCATGACTACAACTGTTCTTACTGCTGCAACAGAATTGTAGACCATGTACAATGGGTCGAAACCATGATTCTCAACCAATGAGGTGATGGCATTGGTCCATCGGGTGTTGACCAATTTCATGCAACATTCAGAACAAACTGATACTTGTCCTATCAAACCTTTTCAGGGTTTCAGTGATCAGGAAGTTTTGGATTTGGACAGTTTTTTCCCCCTCCTGAATATGCCTCCCCTTTCTCTTACTTTTTCTGACACTTCTCCACCATCCCTACTCTGGCGTGCATCATCTTTCTGTACCTGCACTCCATCTTTGTCTGATCCCTCACCTATAGAGCCAGACTTTTGCATGTAGCTTCCTTTATTTACCGTCCTTTTAGTCCTTCCTCTGTGGTGGTTTACCACTTTTAATGGTAGACATACCGCTGTTGGTCTGTCTGGAGGGATTCTTGGTGTGGAAGTTCCTCTTCCCTGTCGGTACTTGTTCTTGAGGTGAAAGATAGAGGACCCTTTTCTTACTGTGGAACTAATGTAAAATTCCAGATGCCACTAGGTGTTGGTTGAGGTATAACTCCCACTTACGGCTTGTCACACCCAAGCCACTACATCAAGGGGTGCCCCATTATTTCTGTAATTTTTCTTGGGGTCCCTTCCTTGTTTTTGCCCTTTTTTGCAACATATTACTAATGATTGTAGAGTTTATCTGGCTCAGAAATGGTGAAGTTTCCCATGAATGTATTGTTTTTAGTTCCTTCTCACATCCAACGGTTTTCCTTTAGGCGCTTCCTTGAGGGGATCATCTTCTCACTGACCCTCCACGTGTTCAATATAAGATTCTGGCTTTTTGTGAGAGGAGGTAAGACATTGTATCAGAAGTTAACATTGTCTTGAACTGAAAATGTATTTCCCACCCATTCTCTCCACTTCTGGTGTGGTTTGGTGTAATCTAACCAATCTCAAAGTAGTTACCAGCTGCAAGATTAGAGAGCGTGCTAGTTACGATAAGGGTAGTGTTACATTCCTGTTGGTGGAGGGTAGCTGCATGATCATTTGCATTAATATGCAGAGATAAGTAGGAGCATCAAGGTTAGTGGTGAGCAAAACATTTCACCAATAGAGGGCAGTGTAAGTTGAGAAAGCTTTTTGTGACAGGGGTAAGTATCAGAAATACATTTTCAGTTTAAGAAAATGTTAACTTTGGATGGTCATCAGGGAATCAATTGAAAAATTGGCATATGAATAAAGTATTGCATGGTACAAGTAATTTGAAATGATAAAATTATATATTAATTTAGTGGGTCATTTAATATACTAAATCAACACTTTGAAAAGGTGTTGCAAGACAGTACATCAGGAACTCTAACCTTATAACAGTCTGAAAGTAATGTAAAAGCTGCATGTCATCTGTTTTAGGTAGGAAAATTAATCAAATCTTTTTTTTAATAATTATATTTTTATATCAAATTAATTTCTAACAATATTATTGCTTATGGTAATTTTCAGTTACATTATTAGTTTTGTTTGTTGTAAGTAAAAGTTTTTATAAAGTCTTGATACCACTGAATTATAATAATATTTAAAAAATTAAAAGTAAAATTAATTTTATGAAACTTGAGACTGAATTTCTAGTTTTTAAACAAACTAATAATATCCTAATTTAATAATCAGAAGTGTAAATCTTTTATCAATTTTAGACACTAGTGACAATGAAGTAAAACCTATTAGCTGTTTTGATGTTGACTTGAGTGACACCTTTGTTTGTGGTGGGACTGAACTTATCAATGAAGATAGTTTTTTACTATTTTGGTAAGTTTTACAGTAAGTGTAGTTGACAAGACTGATTTTTATGTAATCCCATGCAGAAATTTAAAGTCTGAATTAGACAAGTTGAAAAAGTAATGGATCTGGGGAGATGTCTGATCTGTAGTAATAGCCTAACATTCAGTACATTAACCAATCTTTTGCTATGTCTCATCTTAAATTTTCATTACATCTCATAGACCTACTATTGTCAATGCCTATAAAACATTTAAATTTTAATGTTACTTTCTTTTTATTTTCTGTTTTTAGTTTCTAATAATAATCTAACAGTTAAACTTGTGAACAGTATTAAATGATATTCATATATATAAAACCTTATGTGAACAATAGACAACCTTATTTACACATATTCATCATTTGTGTACAGCCACATGTTTGTTTGTCATATAATATAATATTCTTGTTGATGTATTTCTACAAAATGAATTGGCGTAGGTTTATAGAGTTTAGGCAAAAAATATGTTAGAAATTTATCATTTATTTAAAAGTCTTGTTCAAGAATATTAAGTGAAGGACTGTATGATAATGCAGTGCTATTACTATGAACTTGGACATTTACTACTTTCACATGATCTTGTGCATAGTTACAAAAATTCATTAATCTTCACACATAAATATTATTCATAAAGTAAGCTATTTTCATGTTTGAAAATGTTTCTGAACCATTTTGATGTGAAGATTAGTTATAAAATGACAGTACAAGTACAAGCTACCACTGAATATAGTTTCTTGATACATTTGAGCACTAGTGTACAGAATCTCTTTTGGTAAAGCATTAATCAAACAACAAATGTAAAGAATATACATTTCATTGTCAGATATATGGTTATAGAAGTCTTATAGCTGAATTGATGTAATCTTTTTCATATATTGTACAACTGTGGTAAATCAAACAGAAATTTATATACACTAAGAAAATTACTTACTTCAAACTTAATTCTGAAATTCATTTGTTGAAAAGTGTTACACTGCTGGAGTGGTTAGGAACATAAACTGTATGATAAATGGAAGAACTGTGACAATTATAGAAGGTAAAATGCTACATATGTTTCACAGTAGAGGTATTTTGATCTTTAATGTAATACTTTTTCAAAAGGTAATGAAAAATCAAAAATTAATCATTTTGAAAACTTATATTATTGTACTCTAACTCTTCATGAACCAATGTTTTGGACGATATATGTTCAGGTATTTATGTGGGTGAAACGTGTCTTAAATTATGAAGTAATCCATTTGAGAAAATGGTATTCAGAGGAACTTTATGTATTTGCATATGTTAAAGACCGACTTCTGTGAAATTTGACCATATCCATACCTATATATTTTTTTATCGCAAAAGAGCATTTTAGGGTATTTGGCTTTTTAGTTAGACTTATCATTTAGATTTAATCACCTTGAGGTGGCATATATTACAGTATGAAACATCTTTTTCCATATTAGATACGAATGTTAGAAATGGCTGGGAAAACAAAGCTTTAAGTTCAACAAGTAAAGTTCAGTGTCTGAAATTTCACTTTGCTAAAGAATTTTTGCTTGTTGTTCTTGAGTAATGTACATAAATTCTGGTATTAAACTTAAATTAAAAGAAAATAAAATGTTAAAAATCAAAAAAATTTTAATTAACAAAAATTATAAAGAAGATTAAAATTTTTGTTTTAAAATATTTGTTTCTCATTGTTTCAGTGTTTTTATTTTCCTATTTTTGGCTCAAACTTTGATGGTTGATAGTTGCCATTATAGTTTGACTGGTAGTAAAATAATTATTATTTGTAAAAAAAACATATCTGTATTTAAACTTACTTATCCTGTTCAGGGATGTGAGAACATCACAATTATTAGGTGGTTACTGGGATTCCCACACAGATGATATAACTGAGGTAAGAAGGCATTTTTTCATTAAAATTTATTGTATTGATGATAAATTTTTTTAATATAAACATTTTTGATACCTTGCAGCAGAACAATTTGTTCCTTTATCATTAAGATTTACATCTGAGAAAAAAGGTGTTTAGACTATTAAAACTAGACTTTAAAGTTTTGAATATGTATAGCAAAATATATATATTATATATATATATATAAAAAAGGTACGTATATATATATATATATATATATAATAGTACTTTTTTCGTTAATTAGAAGACTTGTAACATAATACAATAGCATTTCCATTTAATGAAATACATAATAATCCTCAGTGTGATTTAGATTTTCTTAAGTTTTGCTAATGGCAGAAGATATGGCATGGGAAGAAGTGTAAAGATACAGGAATAAAATGTCTTAAATCCTTGTCAAAACTAAAAAAAAATGTTGTAACACATCACGCATGACTAATTTTTAGTAGTCATATGAGGGGAATACAGGAGTCTGTAGTAAAGAACTTGACTTAGTGAAAATTGTAACCAAACTTCAGTTAAAAAAAAAGAATAATGTCCTTCTTGCCATTAATTTAATAATCTTTCTTTGCAAGTTATGCTTAAAAAGAGCTTGATAGATTTTTCTAAAAACATTCAGTGAAGTTGCCAACTATAAGTACAGTTGAAGAGGACCTAGTTTCTTGAAACTTGCATAGAATGATTCAAAATATACAACACCACGTGTATTCACACTGAGCAAGAAGCACTGTAACTGTTTTAGAATGTCAAAAATTATTTGTCATATCTAACTGTATTGAGCAAATATTCACCCAAGTCTTATATAGATCATTTGAACTATTCTGCTATTGACTCAGTAGATTATACTGACCTCATGACCCAAAAGTGACCATCAGAGTTTCAATACTATAACTTTTAAGCTGTTTTGTGTATCTTCATGAATTTTTTCAAGCTTTTAGTAAACATTACAAGTCTTTTGTAGACAAGAAATAAAATTTGAGCAAATATTCACCCAAGTCTTGTATAGATCATTTGAACTATTCTACTATTGACTCAGTGGATTACATTATAATACAGTATACATAACCCAAAAGTGACCATCAGAGTTTCAATACTTTTACTTTTAAACTGTTTTGTGTATCTTCATGAATTTTTTCAAGCTTTTAGTAAACATTACAAGTCTTTTGTAGACAAGAAATAAAATTTGAGCAAATATTCACCCAAGTCTTGTATAGATCATTTGAACTATTCTACTATTGACTCAGTGGATTACACTGACCTCATGACCCAAAAGTGGCCATCAGAGTTTCAATATTATAACTTTTAAACTGTTTTGTGTATCTTCATGAAATTTTTTAAGCTTTTAGTAAACATTACAAGTCTTTTGTAGACAAAAAATAAAACTTTTTAATGATATATTTTTACTAAAAATTTGTCAATATAACCTGAGCGATAAAAACAAAAAGACATGCCATATGACACACTTAAAGGCATAAACTAATTAAGAAACAAAAACCTATATAATATTAAAATTTGAATTATAAACTATGTTGTGATGCCAATTTTACTGGCATACAATGATAATAAAGTTCTTTAATTAAATTTAAAAAATAACTAAAATATTGTGGTATGCTCCCTTAGACCTGTCTAAAGTGAGAGGGTTAAGTCATTAAACATCAAAGAAATGAAAGGATATATGAAAATACTAGGTAAAGGTTCTACGAATGATAAGTGAATAAAGTATGTGTATCAGGACTGGTCAAAGGTAAAAACCTGGAAATTTCAAATAAATGACTTCTTTTACTTTCAATAAGACCATAAAAGAAAACCCTGTCAAATTGTTCGACTTTCATTCTGTTTAAAATTATATCCATAAATGTATATTTTGTCATCCAACAAAACTGACTTTTTTATTGTTGTATACTGCTTTTTTATTTATGTTTTACTCATGTTTTTTTGTATTATTATTATATAGAATCTATTTGTTCATTGCACTGTAGTGTGAATAAAGCTTTATCTCAAACTATAAGATAAATCTCTGACATAACAATGTATAACATTAAAAATATTTTATTATAAGTTTTAGACATTGAACCTGCTAGTCAGGAAGTTAGATATTTATTTCTTATATGAACTCCTACGTGATATTTCAGGTTAGATACCATCCCTATAAACGAGATGTTTTAGCTTCTGGATCAACTGATGGACTTATCAATATCTTTGATGTTAAGGAGACCACAGAAGAGGATGCTTTGCAATTGACATTAAATAGTAATTCTTCTGTTGTAAGTAATCAGTATTTCAAAAATAAATTTTTATTTCTGTAATATTTAACATTGTCATTTGACATATAGTTACTCTGAAATTATCATCTTACATTTATGGTTTGCTTTATATTGTCTGTTACTTTTGAAACCATGATGTAATTTTCAGATCTACCTCTAAAACTTTCATTTCTTTCTTTGTTACATTTAAAGTTTTCATTTTCAATGATGTTACTGTAACTTTCTTTTTCTGTTATTTTATAATTAATGTGACAAAATTACATGTTAGTCAGCCATTTCTCTTATTTTGATACTTAATTGCTACATTTCTCACATTTTCTTTATCTATTGAAATAATACTCACTTTTGGCTGTCCTGAAAGTGTATGCCTACGTTACTATCTAAACAGAGGTAAGCAAAAGGTAGATGTTAATATATTTTAGTAAACATTTTGTACAACAACATATTAAAAGATTATCAAAGTTTTTAAAAAAGTCTAATGTTAGGTCATGAAATAACATTATAAGTTTATTTATTGATAGTATTAGGTATGTTAAAGTTTAGTCCTAACTAAACTAAAGCAAAAAACATACTCAAGTTACAATGTTAATTTATCTCTTCATCAAATATAGGCTGTACTTAATATAGGCTTAACTAATTTTAGATCTAAGACAAGTGGACTTACAGATTTTGGTGTCTGTGATTTGAGTTCTTTTGTATTATTCTAGAAATCCTGTGTTTAAAGATGTTTTTTGCAATAAAAATACTAATTTGACAGCAGATGTTTCATGGGCATCTGTTAGTATCTAATAATGAAATTGATCACAATTTCATGTCAAACACATTTCATTTATTACATTTTTACATTATATAACAGTTTTTATTTTTTCACAGTTTACATCAAACTGCTTAATTTTTTTAAATGTGATGTGTAGTAAAGCACTCAGAATCCTCTGTTAAAGATAAGTATTTCTGTCTTCACCCTATGTATTTGAATTATTTTTGTTTTGTTTTGTATTATTATTATATAGAATCTATCTGTTCATTGCACTGTAATGTGAATAAAGCTTTATCGCAAACTATGAAATAAATCTCTGACATAACAATGTATAATATTAAAAAATTTTATTAAGTTTTTAAGCATTGAACCTGCTTGTCAGGAATTTAAATATATTTATTTCTTATATGAACTCCTACATGATATTTCAGGTTAGATACCTTCTATCTGTTCATTGTAGTAAAGCACTCAGAATCCTCTGTTAAAGATAAGTATTTCTGTCTTCACCCTTTGTATTTGAGTTTGTTCACTTTTTGCATGAACTGAGTTACATCAAGTGCAAGAAGTTTGTGAAATATCATTCTCTATCTTTAAAATATAGGCTTTTGTTTCTTTCTGTTTCAGTGTGCCTGGTAATTGAGTGAATTCAAAGAGAATTGTGTTTCCAAAATGATCCATTTGTTTCTAGATAAGTTAATTTTTTTTTTCCTCTCAGAATCCCAGTGTTCTTTTTCACTTATGTGAACATTGACAGAATGCACATTTCAAATGACCATTTGCAGTTTGTTACATAAACACATTTTGGCAGCAAAATTTTTATAATTTCTTTTTGTTTTTAGAGGAGAGTGGTTTTAAAAGTTCATTTTTATAAGCCTGTGATCTACATTATTTTCAAAAATTTGATAATACGGATTTTAACTTTTTAAGTTCTTTCTAAGTTCTGTTTGAAATAGATAAGTTTACTTAATATCTAGATATTTAATCCAAATTTTGTATATTGAGTTTCTAGTTGCTTTAGTGAAAAATTTGTTTGAGTTTTTTTTAGAGGTGCGATATTAAGTTAAATTCCTCATCATTTTGACTTAAAAAAATTTACAACAGTTCTCTGACATCTATGAACTTCTGGATTAAAATATTTTTCTTTAGTCTAAATGTATGTATGGGTTTATTTTAAGCTTGGTCTGTAATAGTACTTTTAGATTTCTCCTGATAATTTGTAATGTAGTATCTTGAAAGTATTTCAGTCCTTATTCTTTATTTTACTGTGGTAGTTGAAGTAGGGTGAGTCATTTCTGACTGAGAGTCATACTATTACACAACAAATAAAAGTGTGAATGATTGAGAAGTTAATGACATTCTCAATTATAGCTGGTGTATTTCTGTCATCAATTTTTATCACAGTCAGTCTCTCCAGCGTTCCTAGTATTTCCTAGTTTTTACAAAAAGCTCCTAGTATTCCTAGTTTTTTTTTTTAATT